ATTTTTTAGGGACTGTAAGTAATGCTACTACTTTTCCTTTTATTCCTCTTTTGTATCCAAGATTTGTATCTAGTACTTGTACCTAAGATGGTGCCATTAGGGGCAGCCACTAGTAAAAACTTTTCACTGTACTCCTGTACTTCTGGGGCATTGGCATCAGTTTTAGAACAGGAGGGTTCTGTACTGTTGGGACGGTCTCTACCTGAACCGATCTGGAACCAGTGTTCGAGTGAAAAGGATAAGTAGGGTGGTCACTAGAGCTTTAAACTAATGAGCTGGGAGGAAGGGAACGTAAAAATGACAGGAAGTATAAAGATAAATAGAAAAGCAGCAGGTTAACATGTGTTAACTACGTCAAAGACTACGAAAGAAGTTAAGAAGGAAAACTCAGGAGATATTATTAATGGAGATATTAGAATTCAAAAAGAACGTATAAAAACTAGCATAAAGGCACTTTACCTGAGTGCTTGTACCATTCAAAATAAGGCAGATGAGTTAACGGCACAAATCATCGCAAATGAGAATGATTTAGTAACCATTATGAAGACATGGTTGCAGGACGGTCAGAACTGGAAATTATATATCCAGGGGTATCAGACTGTTCAGGAGGACAGACAGGAAGGTAACAGAGGTGGTGAAGCACTGATATTTAAGTATAACATCAGAGCAATAGTGGAAGATGATATAAGTTCTACATAGAATAAGGTTGAATCTATTTGGGTGGAAATTAGAAATTCTAAGAAGAAAAAGTCACTGTAAGGCATAGTCTATAGGCCACCAAATAATAATATCACATTGGGGCGGGCAATAAACAAAGAAATAACTAATGCCTGTAAAAATGGTACGGCAATTATCATGGGGAATTTTAATCTACATGTCGATTGGTCGAACCAGGTTGGTCAAAGCAGCCTTGAGGAGGAGTTCATTGAATGTATCCGCGACAGTTTTCTTTAACAGTGTGTAATGGAACCAACGAGGGAGCAAGTTTTCCTAGGTCTGGTCCTGTGTAATGAGACAGGAATAATTAATGATCTCATGGTTAGGTAACCTCTTGGAAGGAGCAATCACAGTATGGCTGAATTCAGAATACAGATGGAAAGTGAGAAGATAAAATCCAATACCAGGGTCCTGTGCTTAAGCAAAGGAGACCACTAGAAGGATAAGGGAAGAGTTGACTAAAGTAGACTGGAAGCAAAGAGTTTATGGTAGGACTGTTGAGGAACAATGGTAGACTTTCAAAGCAATTTTTCGAAGTGCTCAGCAATTTTTCAAAGTGCTCACATTCCAGCGAAAAGGAAGGACTATAGGAAAAGGAGTAATCAGCCATGGATGCCTGAGGAAATAAGGGAGACTATCAAATTGAAAGATAAGGCATACAAAGTGGCAAAGACCAGTGGGAAACTAGAACACTGGGAAAACTTTAAACGTCAACAGACAGCCACTAAAAAGCTATACAGAAAAGTAAGATAGATTATGAGAGTAAACAAGCTCAGAATATAAAGACAGATAGCAAAAGTTTCTACAAGTATATAAAACGAGAAAGACTGGCTAAGGTAAACATTGGTCCTTTAGAGGATGAGAAGGGGGATTTAATAATGGGAAATGAGGAAATAGCCAAGGCATTGAACAGGTATTTTGTGTCGGCCTTTACAGTGAAGGTCACAAATAGCACGCCAGTAATTGATGACAAGGAGCCTATGGTGGCTGAGGACCTATACATGATCATTATCATGAAAGAGGTAGAGTTGGGCAAGCTAAAGGTAGACAAGTCTCCAGGCCCTTTTGGAATGCATCCCACGGTACTAAAAGAGATGGTGGTAGAAATAGCAAATGTATTCGTGGTAATTCTCCAAAATGTGCTGGACTCCGGGCAGTTCCAGCAGATTAGAAAACAGCAAATGTGACACTACTGTTTAAAAAAGGTGGACAAAAGATGGCTGGTTAACTTAACTTCTTTAGTGGGAAAATGTTTGAATCTATCATCAAGGAAGAAATAGCAAGACATCTAGACAGAAATTGTCCCATTGGGCAGATGCAGCATGGGTTCATGAAAGGCAGGTCATGCTCAACTAACTTACTGGAATTCTATGAAGACATTACGAGCGCAGTGGACAACAAGGACCCAGTAAATGTGGTGTATCTGGATTTCCAAAAAGCATTCGACAAGATGCCGGACAAAAGGCTGTTGCATAAAAGTGCACGGTATTACGGGCAATATATTAGCATGGATAGCGGATTGGTTAATTAACAGGAAGCAAAGAATGGGGATAAATGAATGTTTTTCTGGTAGGCGATCAGTAACTATTGGTGTGCCTCAGGGATCAGTGTTAGAACTGTAATTGTTTACAATTTACATAGATGATTTGGAATTGGGGGCCATGTGCAGTGTGTCAAAAGTTTGCAGATGACACTGAGATGAGTGGTAGAGCAAAGTGTGCAGAAGTCTCTGAAAGTTTGCAGAGGGATATGGATAGTTTAAGTGAGTGAGCAAAGGTCTGACAGATGGAGTACAATGTTGATAAATGTGAAGTCATCCATTTTGGTAGGAGTAACAGTAAAAAGGATTATAAAAAATTGCAGCATGCTGCCGTGCAGTGGGACCTGGAAGTCCTTGTGCATGAATTGGAAAAGGTTGATTTGCAGGTACAACAGTAATTAGAAGGCAAATGGAATTTTGTCCTTCATTGCTAGACTGATTGAGTTTAAAAGCATGGAGGTTACGTTGTGGCTATATAGGGTGCTGGTGAGGCCACACCTGGAGTACTGCATGCAGTTTTGGTCGACTTACTTGAGAAAGGATATACTGGCACTGAAGGGAATGCAGAGGAGATTCACTAGATTCATTCCGGAGTTGAGAGGGTTGACTGACGAGGAGAGATGGCGTACACTGGGATTATATTCATTGGAATTTAGAAGAATGAAGGGTAATCTTATAGAAACATATAAAATTATGAAGGGAATAGATAAGATAGAAACATGGAGGTTGTTTCCACTTGCGGGTGAAATTAGAAAAAGGGGGCATAACCTCAAAATTAGGGGGAGCAGATTTAGGACTGAATTGAGGAGGAACTTCCTCACTCAAAGAGTTGGGAATCTGTGGGATTCCCTGCCCAGCGAAGTTGTTGAGACTTCTTCATTGAATGTTTTTAAAGCCAAGATAGATAATTCTTTGAACAGTAAAGGAATTAGGAGTTATGGTGAGAGAGTGGGTAAGTAGAACTGAAGCCATGAAAAGATCAGCCATGATCTTATTGAATGGCAGAGTGGGCTCGAAGGGCCAGTTGGCCTGCTCCTGCTCCTGGTTTTTATGTTTTAATGAAGCATATGTGACAATACAGGATATTCTATTCCATTCATTGGTGGAGCAATTAAAATTGAGGTGTGCAAGAGACCAAAACTGAGGAATTGCAGTAATCCTGGAGGATTGAAGACTTCTGAAGATTAGACAGGAGAAGGGATGAGGCTTCAGAGGAATTTGAAACAAAGTTGAGAATTTAAAATTAAGACATTGCTTTACCAGAAGCCAATATAAGTGAGTGTGCATGGGGATGACTGTGAACAATGCTTGGTGAGTGTCAGAATATGGCAGCAGAGTTTTACATGATCTTGGGTAGAAAGAGGAAGGTTCCCAAGGTGGGTGTTGGAATAGTTGAGTTCCAAGGTAACAAAGACACTGATGAAGGTTTCAGAAGCTGAAGCAGGGGCAGAATTGAAAGTTGTAAGAACAATGTTAGTAGATAGCCTGAGCAATGGTGCGGCTATATGGGTGGAAGTTTATCTCTGGGTCATATGACCTTAAGAAATAGGAGCAGAAGTAGATTATTTGGCCCCTCAAGTCTGCTCCACCATTTAGTAAGATCATGGCTGATCTGCTTGTTTCAAATTCTACATTCCCATCTACCCTGGTAATCCTTAATTTTCCTACCAAAAAGAGCCTACCCACCTCAGTCTTGAAAATGCTCAAAAGCTCGGCTTATACCAGTTTATGAGGCAGAGAGCTCCAAAGTCACACAATCCCCTCACAGAAAACATCTCTCCTAATCTATGTCCCGAAAGTACAAACCCTACTTTTAAAACTGTGCCCCCTAGTCCTGGACTGACTCACAGGAGGAACTATCCTTTCCGCTTCCACCATGTCACGACTATTCAGAAACTTATAAGCTTTAATAAAATCTCCCCTCATTGTTCTGAACTCCAGTGGAAACAAGCCCAGCCTGTCCAACCCATTCTCATAAAACAACTGCTCATTCCAGGTATCAATCTAGTGAACCTCCTGTGAACTGCTTCCAATTTATTTATATCCTTCCTTGAAAGATGCCAAAAAAATGCAGGCAATATTTGAGATATGGTCTCAATGTCCTGCACAACCAAAGCATAACATCCTTACTTTTATGTTCAATTCCTTATGCAATAAAGTATAGGATCTTGATTACTTGCTGAACCTGCATTCTAATCTTTTGCGACTCATGCACCACAACGCGTAAATCCCTCCTCAACTGCAAATTCTGTTAAATATGATGCTATGGCTACAATCTGTTTCAGTCTTAGACAGAATCAAGATAAGGGATGGAATCAGCATCCAGGGAATAGGGAGCGACATTCGCATCAAAGACAAAGCATTGGTCTTCTCAATATTTTGCTGGTGAAAACTACTGCTCATCCAGGACTGAATGTCAGACAAGCATACTAACAGTTTAAAGACAGCGGAGGGTTCAAGATGATGTACAACATCGTTCACCAATGTAGACATGGAAACAAGTACTGTGTTTTTGGATGATGTTGTCTCAGTACTAGAGGGTCAGTGCTACAACTGAGTCATGTAAATGCACAGTAACATTACTTATTTCTTCTGATTTAAATACTTGCAGGAGTTAAAAAATTGTAGGTTTCAATTATCAAGCAAGACACGTGTAAAATTTGTTGTAATTGTAACATAATCATATTTTCTAAATTAACAAATTGCACCTATTTAGTAAATTGATTCTAAATGCGGAACTTACCAACACTTCTGGTCCTCTCCAAAGTGCCATCTCTTTCTCTTGGTGCATCATATTCTGTTAGAGCACTGGTTGAACCTTGATGATCGTGTAAAACAGGGGATTGGCACCTTTTAATAAGAAGCAGGATGTACTTAACATCAATGGGATACAAGTTCATTCAAGAGTGATACAATTTCAGATAGTTGCTGATAATAATCTAAGAAAAGTAAGCTGTTGATCTAAATCTATTTTAGACTTCAGGATTCAGAACAAAATATATCCAAAGCTGATATTATTGACCATGGAGTTATCTGACTGGGAGATTTAAAAAAAAATTCTACTTTTCTATTAAAACATTTGCATTGATATACCACTCCAACAACTCAATTTCCTGAAGCACTTGATAATCAACATTAGATGTGAAGTATAATCACTAGTTACACAAGGAAATATAGTTACCAAATTGCAGAGTAAAACCTAACTAACAGCAATTTGCAATAAATAGTTAAGTTGCTTTGATGCAGTTGATCAAGGGACATGAAGGGTATCGAAACAGGAAGAAAGTGCGTCACTCATTTTCATAATGCGGTTTCATTGAATGATTACCCGCAGACTATATAAACGTAAGTTGTTATTCTTCATTAATTATTGAGAGTGCTATGCATCAGTGGGCTGTTTGTTGTTGTGCAATCATGCTATATAATCCACTATAGCGTTGAACAGCTCACCAGCTGAACATTGTTGGTTTGAAACAGCCCTGATGTGGCAATTATCATGGAAATAAATAAATTACGACATGTTTCCTTTATGCAATAAGTGGGCTTTTAATCATAAATAAACACATCCACAGCAAGCATCCAAGACTCTTGCAAAACACCAAGATTCCACTCAGAACTTTGCAATTTAAAAACAAATTGGTTCTCACATGTAAATACTGTAACAGATTCCTTGATTATTGGAAACGACCCTTTTTAGCAATAGCATTTTAAAAAGGTTCATGCTTTACTTTGCATTTGATTTGAGCCACAGCTCCCATTCTAAACCTGTATCAACTTTGAAGAGCAAGACAGAATTTTCCTTTGTTCTTTATCTTGTTTTATCTAATGAGTAATGCAGTTGTAACACAAACCATGATTTTGAATTGTCAGAAAGAAGACTAAGTTTCTTGATCTTCATGATAAAAATACACATTCCAATCAGATTTACAGTATTTATCTCTGATAGTACATGCATATATTTAAGTAAAGGCCATAATCACTAATCTACGTACTTATGGAAGCCTCTTTTCTCCTGAAATCAATCAAAACATTATCTTGCCTGGCTCTGGGGAAATCTCTTAAAAGTTGTCCCAAAATTCCTCCAATGGAGACTGCATACATCCTTAATTTTACATGACTTTGTTCTTTTAAAAAAAGAGTCTCACAGTTGCAAATAAGTGACAAATGTAAAAAGCTAGCAATAAAGCAAATCATCACTGATGAAGTAGAGATGAATCAGAGTCATTAGCAAGAGTATAGTGATGGCTTTATGGAAGCCTGGAGCACAGTCTAAGCCGATACTCTGTGCTGTAAGTGCAACATGTTATTAAACTAAAACCGAGATGACACTCTCAGATCGGATAAAAGATTGGAAGAAAAGCAGCAAAGTTCTTCCCAATACCTTGATCAACATATTTCCCTCAACCAGCATATCAATCAGATTACTTAGTCATACAACTTGCTGCTGTTTGTGTGAGTTTGCCGTGCACATGCTTGCTCAACAGAACAGATGACAGTTCAAAACTATTTCACAGTGATAAAGTGTTTTGGGATATTGTGAAGTCATGATAGCTGTTGCATAAATGTCAGCCTGTATTTATTTGATTAGTCAGCAACCTTGAAAATGTGTTGGAATTCTAGCTGAAGTCACCAAAATAAAATTTTCACATCTTGTGCTTCTGCCACAAAAATTCTTACAGAACATTAAATGTGAAATTCACTTTTAGAACACATGATTAAAGTCTCAATAATTGCAATCTTAAAACTAATCAGCTATTAGTTTCAATTACAATGATGTGCCTTATGTTAAGTAAGTTTTCAAAGCTTCAGGTGCTTCTGTAGTTGGTTCTTCTTAGAGCATATTGACAAAGACCCAGATTCCTTTAAAGTTTGGGAAATGCTTGTGTCATGAATCAGAAAATATTAGTACCTGGAATGCTTTGCTCAGATGGAGATGGCAATTATCCATATGTAATAATAATATTGCTGAGACACATTTGATTCACCAGTCCACACACTTCTTTTGGAGAAACTTACCAACTGTACAAATTAGTTTTAAATGATACAACAGTAGAGGGATTTTAGAGGTTAGAGATTTCTGTTGGTAAATAAACAATCAATAGTTTTGCAATATTCTTCTACAGTTTTTATGCAAATTTTAACCCATTTGTTTCAGATGAATTCCCATCTTAAAAAAAATAGCAACGTGTGCTAATGTCTACTAAAGTCACCAGATATTCAGCTAATGCAGCATTCAACTTCATGTTCAATTTACAGCAGCAGCAAAGTGACTGGATGACTGATTTCAGGCCTCTAAAAGTGTACATCAGAAGATATTCCATACCCATCATATCCAGACTGCTGTCTCCAATGACTGCTGCCACTTGGTCCTGGATCACTCGAAGATGACTGGTTACTGGGGGAGTTTCGGTAATGCTGACTGCCATCAGCAACATTGGATTGGGCTAGTGGAACATTTTCCACATCTTGCAAGGATCTGTGTGCCACAGAGAAACAAAAATGAGCCTGCTTTCAGATTTTCATTAAAAGAACAATTTACTGTAGATGCATTCCATTATGCACAAATAAATATTCATGTTTTATAGTTATGCAAAGAATATAGAGCATAGAAATCAGCCAGTTGGTTCATGCTAGTATTTATACTTCACATCGATCTCATCACACCTCTATTCTTGTAGCTCCATTGTGCTTGCTGTTTAGCAAATTTTGAAATTACCACATTACTGACTTGGATAAACTTGCCAAATACTATCCGGTATAGAGTCCTGCAGAGCTCATGAAAAGAGGAGAGTAGGGTGGACAGGTTCAGACAGAAACACCGTCCCAAAAAAGTCCGCTGTCAGGAGCTCAGCCCATCCCCACCAAGTTGTGCAGCTCAAGACTTTTTTTTGCTGCAGCATACAATCTTCGCTGGATTTGTAGAATACTAAGCACTTACCAAGAACTCGCACGTTTTCTCATTTGTTGAATCCATGAAAAGATTGTATATGCCTAAAGAAAACAGCTATGAGCTCTCTGACGCAGTGGTACATACCCAATTGACTAATGTAATTGAACTTCCACGAAATTGCCTAGAATAATGTGGTTGTGTAAACAATTAAAAGCTGCAATTAGCTTTACTTGTGCTGGAAAAGCTGTGTCGTGTAAATGTGGCAGCAATTCTGAGGCCAATAATTACCAACAGAAACAGCAGCATCGGTCATAGCATTGACTCTCAGTGAGAACCACACTCTGGAAATCATTATTTTGTTGTCAGCCTGCAGAGGAATCAATGCTGACCCAAAAACTAGGGAGGCAGCTGAGAAATTACTAGGGAATTTCAATAACAATTTTAACTCAAAAAATATTTTTGCATTTTTGGAAAGGTATAGATTTGCACCCGGAATTGTTTGATTATAGGAAAAGGATGAAGAAGGTATAGAGAAGGACAGGACAAAGTCAGCATTGTCGATGCCATTAAGGCTTTGCTGCACAGATACCTGTACTTGAGGGTGTAAAGGCTAAAGAGATCATTGCTGGAATTCTCACGCGAAGAGAAGGCTGCAATTCCCACAGAAGCAATTATTGCTCCAAGAATTGCACTTTCTGGGACGTCATGCCTTATAGAAATAGTAGTTCTTATTCATAAATGTTGTTGAACAATTCCAGGCAGCCTTAGGGAAGTTCAGTGATATTAGTCTGAATTAGCTATGCATCCTTACATCAGGCAGGTCACAGCTGTCGTCTTTAGACAAACATTACAGTTCGCATCCTTTTTTTCACAGAGCAGACAATCAGAGAATTTGTGAATTCAACATTCAGTGTCAGATTTCCCCTTGACTTGTGTAAAGGCCACTTTTGTTCAGACAGTGGACTAAAAATGAGAAAAGATGCTTTAACCCAAGGACACAGTGAAAGAAGAAGATGTTGCGGTAAAAAATGAGTTACTAATGTACATTGTGAATTGAATGGACAATGTTGCCTTATTTGAGCTTTTAGATGGGGGCAGGGGCAGGCAAGTAGAGAGTGCTAAACACATTGGCTTTGTGTGCACGCATGTGTGTTCAGGGCTGTTTTGCTCAGAGGCAACTATTGATTGGTTTGTTAACCAAAACCAGTTGTTGTGTGCTCAGAAGGGCTCAGATGGTAACAAATACTTGACTGATTCTTGGGAAAGTGGCTACAGTCATGTATGCAGACAATAGAAGAGAAGCCTGTAGCCTGCAGAGATAGCAGGTCAATCTGTCATCACTAAACATTTCCCTGCAAACTGGTTTCTCTGCAAATTCCTTCATACAAAGGAAAACGAGAACAAACATCTTTGCAGCTATTGAAAGAGCAAATCTTCAACTAGTGAATAAAAGACTGAGAATCGGTGAATACACAACCTCATGTCATTAGCAAAGAACTGAATGGAGTTGGTAGAAAGCCAAAAGAAAACATCTCATTGACATCTGTGATCAGAACTGTGGTTGCCTGCCATTTATTTCCTTTCCCGTCCTATAAAACTTGTGTCTCATTTTGTCAGTTTGGAAGTGTACAGGAATTTTTAAAAAGTGTAGACTTTAAATTATAGAGTAATAAGTCATATATCCTTCCTGCCTTGGTTAAGTTGTTTTTTGAATTAAAAAAGTGATTTTCTTATTAATGATAAAAAGCTCGCGTGCATATTCTTTCAACCCTCATTAGACACTGAGGTAGAATTGGACAATTTCGTGGTTCAATCAAACTTTCACATTTGTGATTATTCCAGGAATAATGGGGCTTGAATAGGTCACAATACAGCTTAAGCATGATCAGTTGTAGAGGAAACGGGTTAACGTTTGACAGTTGAGGACTAGGCATATAGTGCAGGAGATAGTAGGAACTGCAGATGCTGGAGAATCCGAGACAACAAGGTGCAGGGCTGGATGAACACAGCAGGCCAAGCAGCATCATAGGAGCAGAGAGGCTGACGTTTCGGGCCTAGACCGTTCATCAGAAAAGGGGGAGGGGAAGGGGGTTTTGAAATAAATAGGGAGAGAGTGGGAGGCGGATAGAAGAGGGATAGAGGAGAGGATAGGTGGAGAGGAAACAAACAGGTCGAAGAGGCGGGGATGGAGCCAGGAAAGGTGAGTGTAGGTAGGGAGTTAGGAAGGGGATAGGTCAGTCCAGGGAGGACGGACAGGTCAAGGGGGCGGGATGAGGTTGGTCGGTAGGAGATGGAGGTGCGGCTTGAGGTGGGAGGAGGGGATAGGTGGGAGGAAGAACAGGTTAGGGAGGCAGGGACGAGTTGGACTGGTTTTGGGATGCGGTGGGGGGAGGGGAGATTTTGAAACTTGTGAAATCCACATTGATACCATTGGGCTGCAGGGTTCCCAAGCGGAATATGAGTTGCTGTTCCTGCAACCTTCGGGTGGCATCGTTGTGGCACTGTAGGAGGCCCAGGATGGACATGTCGTCTGAGGAATGGGAGGGGGAGTTGAAATGGTTCGCAACTGGGAGGTGCAGTTGTTTGTTGCGAACCGAGCGTAGGTGTTCTGCAAAGCGGTCCCCGAGTCTCCGCTTGGTTTCCCCGATGTAGAGGAAGCCACACCGGGTACAGCGGATGCAGTATACCACATTGGCAGATGTGCAGGTGAACATCTGCTTGATGTGGAAAGTCTTCTTGGGGCCTGGGATGGGGGTGAGGGAGGAGGTATGGGGGCAGGTGTAGCACTTCCTGCGGTTGCAGGGAAAAGTGCCGGGTGTGGTGGAGCTGGAGGGGAGTGTGGAGCGGACAAGGGAGTCACGGAGAGAGTTGTCCCTCCGGAAAGCAGATAAGGGTGGGGAGGGAAAGATGTCTTTGGTGGTGGGGTTGGATTGCAGATGGCGGAAGTGTCGGAGGATGATGCGTTGGATCTGGAGGTTGGTGGGGTGGTACGTGAGGACGAGGGGGATTCTTTTTTGGTTTTTATTGCGTGGACGGGGTGTGAGGGATGAGGTGCAGGAGATGTGGGAGACACGGTTGAGGGCGTTCTCGACCACGGAGGAGGGGAAGTTACGGTCCTCGAAAAACGAGGACAACTGAGATGTACGGGAGTGGAATGCCTCATCCTGGGAGCAGATGCGGCGGAGGCGAAGGAATTGGGAATAGGGGATAGCATTTTTGCAGGAAGGTGGGTGGGAGGAGGAGTATTCTAGGTAGCTGTGGGAGTCGGTGGGCTTGAAATGAATATCGGTTTCTAGGTGGTTGCCCGATATGGAGACAGAGAGGTCCAGGAAGGGGAGAGAGGTGTTAGAGATGGTCCAGGTAAACTTAAGGTTGGGGTGGAAGGTGTTAGTGAAGTGTATGAACTGTTCGAGCTCCTCGTGGGAGCACGAGGCGGCGCCGATACAGTCATCAATGTAACGGAGGAAGAGGTGGGGTTTAGGGCCGGTGTAGGTGCGGAAGAGGGATTGTTCCACGTAACCTACAAAGAGGCAGGCGTAGCTTGGGCCCATGCAGGTACCCTTCCTGCAAAAATGCTATCCCCTATTCCCAATTCCTTCGCCTCCGCCGCATCTGCTCCCAGGATGAGGCATTCCACTCCCGTACATCTCAGTTGTCCTCGTTTTTCAAGGACCGTAACTTCCCCTCCTCCGTGGTCGAGAACGCCCTCAACCGTGTCTCCCACATCTCCCGCACCTCATCCCTCACACCCCGTCCACGCAATAAAAACCAAAAAAGAATCCCCCTCGTCCTCACGTACCACCCCACCAACCTCCAGATCCAACGCATCATCCTCCGACACTTCCGCCATCTGCAATCCAACCCCACCACCAAAGACATCTTTCCCTCCCCACCCTTATCTGCTTTCCGGAGGGACAACTCTCTCCGTGACTCCCTTGTCCGCTCCACACTCCCCTCCAGCTCCACCACACCCGGCACTTTTCCCTGCAACCGCAGGAAGTGCTACACCTGCCCCCATACCTCCTCCCTCACCCCCATCCCAGGCCCCAAGAAGACTTTCCACATCAAGCAGATGTTCACCTGCACATCTGCCAATGTGGTATACTGCATCCGCTGTACCCGGTGTGGCTTCCTCTACATCGGGGAAACCAAGCGGAGACTCGGGGACCGCTTTGCAGAACACCTACGCTCGGTTCGCAACAAACAACTGCACCTCCCAGTTGCGAACCATTTCAACTCCCCCTCCCATTCCTCAGACGACATGTCCATCCTGGGCCTCCTACAGTGCCACAACGATGCCACCCGAAGGTTGCAGGAACAGCAACTCATATTCCGCTTGGGAACCCTGCAGCCCAATGGTATCAATGTGGATTTCACAAGTTTCAAAATCTCCCCTCCCCCCACCGCATCCCAAAACCAGTCCAACTCGTCCCTGCCTCCCTAACCTGTTCTTCCTCCCACCTATCCCCTCCTCCCACCTCAAGCCGCACCTCCATCTCCTACCGACCAACCTCATCCCGCCCCCTTGACCTGTCCGTCCTCCCTGGACTGACCTATCCCCTTCCTAACTCCCTACCTACACTCAC